AAGCATAAATACGTTAAAAAATATTTATCTTAAACTGTCAAGTTACGTTTCAAAACGTGTTGAAAGTTAATGAAGGGTACATGAAATCATAAGCTTAATTCTCCGCACTTAACATTAGATAGGCATCGCATACCGTTTAATTGCAGCTTCCCAAACGTCACATCCTTCTTTAGTGACATCAAGGCAGTCGACTTCCTTAACTATTTCATAGGCCAGATTGACCTCATCAATAGCACTGGCATCAGCAGCGTCCAGTAAAGGTTGTTCTTTATTTTTAACAAGTTTATTTGAAGGCACTCCAGAACCATCTTGTTTGCCTACGCCGCCAGAAACGACGGTGCTATTTCCATTAAGAATATCTGCGCCAACCTCAACACCATCAGTAGATGTAGTCCGAGTTACAGCGGGACGAAGTACACGAACGATGACTTGGCGCAGTTGCTCGTGTTGATGTCGAAACCTGAAAAAATAAAGACAAGACAATGTATTTTTTATCATTATGATACAATTCTGCATGCGACGATTAATTGATTTCTTTCACGAAAATCATATGCATATATGTGCTAAAATCTTAATTTAACGAGACATAAACTGCTTCTCACTTCCTCATTTGATCCAGACGAAGTTGTAATCGACGATGAGCGGGATTACTACGCCACACCATGCGAATTTGTTCATCCCGTTTCTTCTTCAGAAGCTCCCTCATCAGACTTTGAAGTCTATCATATTCATCATCCCAAGTTGTAAAGACTTCAAAGCAATCGGTCATAACACGCTCAAACTCTTCAAAAGGCATATGCATGAGGCGTCGCGCTCCGAGAACCTTTAATTATGAAAAAAATAGACAAGTATATAATACGGCGTCAAACTAAAGACAGATATAAGAAAATACATGAATAAAGGCACACTAAAACTCGCCTTCAGTAGTTGAGAACTGAGGTCTCTCGAGATCGCCTCTATTAACCTCAACGCTCTTTGCAAAGGATATTTGGTATTTCTTATTTTCCTCAAATGTGCGAATATGGACTGCAGGGCGACTCGAATCTTTTCAAGTTCTGCTGCAGACAAAAGATCGTTGAGTGGAAAATCCTTCATTAGAGGGTTATAGTCATTGACAATGCCCAAGGCTCGTTGTAGACCGGTATCAGTATCAAAGCTAACAAGGGCATGGAATCGTTTAGCATGTTTAAGAATATCCAGAGTCAATGTAACCTCTAGCGATTCTCGCTTTTCTTGGATTCTAAGAAGGCCACGCTCTAAATTGAGCCAAAATGTGATCTCCTGAAGAGCAGTTCCAGATGCAGGATCACGATCCAACTTTGTAACTTTTTGAATTTCTTTTATCCATCTATTGACACCGGCTTGAAGTGAATTAAGAAAGTGAGGATCCTCAAGCATATCTTCGAAATCTGATGTTCTTGCCTTAATCCCCTCCTCCATACGCTTTTTGATCAGCTGTGCAACGTATGGATGTACAGTAAGAGTTATTTCAGGAATATCTATATTTTGCTGTAAATGCAGTAAGCCCATTTCTAGCTCAGTCATTTTTTTTTCTACACTGGGTGCCATCTTATCGCCATCCCTAGAAGGCAAAAAGATGTTTAGAATATAATTACAAAATTAAAGGACGAAGGATGATAAGGCTTACCGATCTGCTTTACCGGACTCTTTTATGTAGGATTTATAGAATGGACACATCGCATTGCTTATAAAGGAATGGAGAGTTTCATAAGGCGAGCCATCACTCATGTTCAGAACCCTTAGTTGTGAGCCATAGGCCTTGTCGGCCTCAACCACAACTCCTCGCTTTATATAAATGACGCTAAGAAGGTAGACATACTTATGGAATTACCTAAACAATTTATTATTTGTATAGTGAACATCCGTTGAAATAATGTAGGTTGTTTCATTCTCAGCAGACTCGTCTTCTTCGTCTAAACAATGAGTGATTATTTACTCCTAGATATACCTCTGCCAGATATTTTCTGGATAACAAGAACATGAATCTGTGGGTCAGATATAAACTTTTTAATTGAATCAAGAGAATTTTGATCATTAAGTGCTTCGTGCAAAAGGACAATGCTGTCGTCCGATTCATCCATTAAGCAACATGTCGTTTTAAGCAAATACTTAGTAAAAGCTGTAGGATCAGAAACTGTAACCTCAGGCTGAATGGGGGCCGGGGAAGATTCTACAGCGGAATCAGCCATCCAAGACTAAGTGAACGCAAAGAGCAAGTGAATCTTGGAGGGCCGCAGAGGAAAAGGCTTAAAGCAATAAGCATGAATGAATGCAAATAAGTAACTAGGATACTTCATGAGTATAAAATATTATATAACTAAAAACAAAATAAATTTATAATGTCCAAAATAAATCAGAATAAGTTTATAAGGGCCGGTCAATACAAACCAAAT